AAGCTGGCGGCCATGCACAAGCGAGTAGAGCCATTTCCGTTTTTTTTCTGCCATGCTCTCGATCAGCGTCAGTCCTCGGGCTCTCCGTCTCAGAAGCACATCTGTATGAGAAACAATTGAGCCCAGCAGGAAACATTATCAAGTGCTAAGTAGCCAAACAGGACGTTGCGCAGGAAAAGTGTCCGAGCTCATAAATAACTCTGCGGAGAGAGAAGCTTCGCCGGGGCCCGACACTCTGTAACCAAATTAAACTTGAAGCACAGATAAGTCCACCAGGCTGGGCACACACAGGCTAATAACAGCTGTTTGCTTGTGATCACACTGACACAACAACACAGCAAACAGGTCGGGTTTCCTCTGAGGCGTTTAATAAAGATAACAGAAGAAAGAGTGTGAGGAAGATTCATCCATCACGACCTCTTAGAGCAGGTTTTAACTTGCAGGGAAAAAACTGCTTTGATTACGTCCCACACTCAAAGGCAGGAAGAAATATTGAAACTAAACATTGACTAGGAATTATTGTTGATCAGGTTTTTACAAGGGCTGGGTGTTAGCCCTCAGAATAGGTAATGGGGATCAGTCTCAGCTACCACCACACCAAGTGTTAGCTCCATATCTGTAAAACTGACCGAGCCTTTTTTATGTGTGTTTTAAGGTCGGCTGGCTGCGACAGTCATTTTGATTTGAGTCGACTTCAAAAGTTTAATCACTTAATGATTATTTTCTGAAAGTTTCATTAGAATCCGTCCACTAGTTTGTTAGATATTTTGCTAACAAACACACATACCCAGGCATACCAGACTGCACAAAGATCTTTGTTTAAAACTCTGACCTCGTGAACTTCTGGACAAGTTTTCATAAAACTTTAGACAATAAAAAAATGGAGCTTTGTTTACAACTACTTTTAAAGACAACCCCATTGAAGATGGCCGTCACAAACAACTGACCTTGAACAACACAACTAATTAAGTTCATTTTGCAGCTATTGAGTCAAGTCAACTTTATTTATAGAGCACATTTAAAACAGAACCTGTTATCAAAGTGCTTAACAACAACAACAACATCAATGGGAGTCAAATTTATTAAAAAAAAAAATACAATATACTAATAATCATACTGAAGAATTAATAAAAAGCATTTAAAACATAGGATCACAAAACAAAAAATACTAAATCAATTTACACTGTGTGAAATGCCTGAGAGAACAAATGTGTTTTAAGCAGGGATTTGAAGTGAGGAAGGGAGGTGGCCTGCCTGATGTTGGGGGGCAGGTTGTTCCAGAGTTTGGGGCCCATGACTGAAAAAGCCCGATCTCCTCTGAGCTTCAGTCTTGATTTTGGAACAGCCAAAAGCAGCTGATCGGATGATCTCAGAGCCCGAGAGGGAACGTAAGGTTCCAGAAGCTCAGAGAGGTAAAGGGGTGCGAGGCCATTTAGGCATTTGAAGGTCAACAGCAGATTTTTAAAGACTATCCTAGTAGGAACAGGGAGCCAGTGAAGGGAGGACAGAACTGGTGTAATATGTTCAGACCTACGAGTTCCGGTTAAAAGCCGAGCAGCAGCATTCTGGACGAGCTGAAGACGTGAGATATTGAGCTACAATATGGCGTAGTTGCAGCTGAGAGTCCTTCACAACTCAAGTGCTACTCATTGTGCAATATCATTGCTTAAATCTTTAGCATTATTTACTGGAGTCAACACTGTTTGCCTGTTAGCAAAAAATCTCAAGGAATACAAGGCCTCTGCATCTTACCAAGCATTTCTTTATCCACAAACTAAATAATCCAAAGCAAAAACGCTGTAAAAAAACAGCTGATCTGCTGAACTAAAACTCTTCAGAGACTAAAAGGCAAATCTTTCAGGCCTTCGTGGAGCTCGAACTTTTCTAAAAAAGTTAAATCTGGTCCTCTGGACATTCAAAAAAACAAAACAAAGCAAATCAACAAAAAAATGTAGAAACGTTTCGTCTCTCATCCGAGAGACTTCCTCAGTCCTCAGTCCCAGATTTAACTTTTTTAGATTTTTCTACCTGGATTATTGAGCATGCATCAGGATAGCTCGAACTTTTGTTTTTGTGATATAAAGTGTCTTGAAAACTGAAATATTTCACACGATCCTGAGCAAACATGGGCACGGTCGACCTCGTGCGGCTGAGGTTACAGTGTCCTCAGAGGGGCTGCAGCTCCGTCAGGCTCCTGCAGACTCTTTGCTTCAGACACTGCACTGCTGTTTAAAACACACAGGGCTCATGCCAAACTACGCAAGAACTCCGGATAAGAGAATTTCACTGCTTCGCTCCACAACAACAGAAGGTGCAAACAATTGCTGCTGTGCACTTTTTTGTGTGTGTGTGTGTATTTGAAATGTGCGGCACCTACTCCCGCTGCATTTGCATTAACAGAAGCCTTTGTAAATGAAGGAGCTTTTCAGCTAAAGGCTGGGCTGTGTGTCCACGCACCGGCACACTGGGAATCAAAGAACGTTGTTTCATGCAAACTAGCTGCGAGTGAATACTTTCACAGAATCTGCATTCTGTGATGGTCTTTGTCCAACTGCTGGAAACTGCTATTTGTAGCAGGAGGAGAAGAAAACAGAGTTTAAAATGAAAGTGAAAAATAAGAAAAGAGAACGAGGGCGCAGGCTCATTCCTCGTGGACAGTCCAGCCTTTTAACGTCATTTCTGCAGACTCAGAGGCCACAGAGCGACTGGAGCTATTTCTTCCCTTTTTTGTTTCAAAAAGTAACAATGTGGTTTCATAGGTCACCAAATTCTCCACAAGTTGTCACATTTGAGGCACATTCTGACTCGTGGAAACAATATTGAGAATTAAGGGCTTGAGGCGGGCTGTTTTGTTTTCTGAAACAAAGCTCACAACGCGTCCTTGTTGGATTTCCCTCTGCTTGTTGATCAAAGCACATCGTCTTTGACTGTTGCGTGCTTGGCGCCACCCTTGGAATGGGAGTGGTATTGTCACACAGTCTGTATGTCTTCTATCCATCTGTCCATTATCTTTACCAGCTTCTTCGTTTTAGAGTCACGGGGGTCACTGTTGATCATGTTCAGCAATCACTGTGCGAGGGGCGGGGTACACCCTGGACAGGTCTCCAGTTCATCACAGGGACACATAGAGACAAATGAGACGAACACTCTCACACGCACCTAGGGTCAATTTAGAGTTACCTATCAGCCTAACATGCATGTTTTTGTCTGTGGGAGGAAACTGGAGTACCCGGAGAAAACCCATACATGCACGGAGAGAACATGCAAACTCCTCTCAGAAAGGTCCCCGGCCGGGATTTGAACCGGAAATCTTCTCGCTGAGAGGCAACAGCTCTACCAACTGAGCCACAGTGCCGCCGTGTACGGATTCTCTTTGAGGTTAACTTTTTTTTTTTTAATTCATACAAATTTGCAGAGCGACATCACTGATCTTCCCTTTATAATAAATATTTGTCCATTGTTGTCATCTTTCTTTGTTGAAATCAGGTCTCTCTTGTAAATGAGTCCTCGAGGCTCAATGGGATTTACCTGTATAAATAAAGGTTGATTGATTTGTTGTTGTTTAATCCTGCAGGTGGATGATCACACGTCATCACTTCATCAGATTATGGAGCCACAGCATGGCTTACTTTTACACATTAGTCATTTTGCCTCTCTTACTATGGAACACTGAGATACTCAAAATTAAATAAATAAATAAATAAAGGACTGGCTCTGACAACCCCCACCACCACCACCACCCCACCCAGTCCATTCAGATATCACACAGAGGTGGCCAGAAGGCATCTAATCCCAGGCCGGAGGGTTTCTACGAGCACTACAATAACTCTGACGACTTAAGGTGATAAAAATCTTGACCGCTTTACTTTGAAACCAACATGTTGCAGTGTTGCGTGTGCCTCAGATCTAATCTAGACCTGCTTGTTTGGTGTATTGCAGAACACAAGAGGGTAAAACTGTAGCCTCTAAATGTTCTGCAACACTAGTTTCATTGAAACCCATCCTGTGGTTCATCAGCTATTTTTACCACCAAAAAATAGAGTTGACTTAAACATATGTCAAAGTTTTAATTAAACATTTTGTGTGATGTGTAATGCTTAACGTAAATGTTGAGGATTATTATAAAGTACCACGACAAATTTTAGCCAAATATTTGTCAAATTGACTGAATTATAGCTGTTTATTTGTGATGTACATGCCGCTGGCTTGTGCTACCAACTTTAATTAAGTTGGCTCCAAAGGTCAATCGGTTGAAGATGTACATCTAATGGTAACGGTCTGAAAGTTTAATTAAAATCTGTCTGGTTCATGTGATATTTGAGAGTTTACTGTCAATAGTTATAAACAACTTTTATAGCAATCACAATGTGTGTTGTGCTTCGGTCTCATTTATCACACCAGATTTTAGCACATTACCTGTAAAACTGACTGCGGCTTCTCCATTTTTGAGATTTTTAGATCAGCCATCTTTATATGCATTAACTCCAAACATTCATTAGTTCTAGATGTATTTACCAATTACTCTCTAGGAGTTTCATTAAAACGTATCCAGTGGTTCACAATATATTTTGCTAACAGACCGACAGTTGCTCACGCAGCAGGCAAAATCGCTCACATTTAACAAGCACAAATCTTACAACTCAATCTTTTAACGTGACTAAACAAGTGAAAGCAAAACTTTCTGATTTGGCGCGGGGCCCAAGAAAACACACTCTCACGCCTCTCTCCGGGCCCACGAGCCATACTTTGGGGATCAAAGCAAATAAAGTTCAGCGTCACATTTGTCGCGTGCAGCTGCGGCTCCACGCTGTTCATAAGTCCTGTCGCATTTTGCGTCAAAGATTTCCTGACTCGGAGCCGCAGTGCGCGCGCCGCCAGGCCTCGAGCCGCGCGCACTGAACTCTGACTCAAAGAAACATGGAGGTGAAGACGAGCTGGTGTCAGAGGTGACAGGAAGCAGAGTCCACCTGAGGAGCGTCAGCAGAAAGAGGCGCACCTACCCCAACGTGCTGATGAAGCCGTTCACCGAGCCCTCCGCGTAAAGAGACACAATGTCTCCGATCTGGAGGAAGCTGGACATCTGCTCGGACATTCTCACTGCAGCCCCGCGGCAGACCTGCTCCGCTTTCCCCATTTGTGAGCGACAGACTCTGAAACCGTCACGGCTTCACAGCGCAGCGGGTTCCCCAGCAGCCCCCAGCTTCATCCCGGGGGTTCCTCCCGCGGCGACTGGACGAGAACAAGAAGTGTTTCCAGGTGTGTCAGAAAAACTCCGCCGCTCTGCCGAAAAAGAAGAGAAAAGGTCTGAGAGAAGTTCTTCCTGTAAAAGAAACGCTTCTCTTCTGGGGGGAGGAGACTGCTCTGCTGCTGCAGCTCTGACATCTGTCTGCAGAAACAGAGCTGTTCATCTGAGCAGGAGGAGAACTGCAACTTTCATCTGAGCAGGAGGA